TATTCATATTGTGTGACGCTGACCGACAGTGTACAGTAGAGACGGGGTATAGCTCGACCCTATAGAGTTTTGCTTCTAAAACGTGACTGATCCCTATCTCCAGAAATCAGTATAACATGGAAGTGAACATGGAAGTGAACTTTCCTGTATAACATGGAAGTGAAACCTGTCTTTACAGAGGTAGTTTAGCGTTTATTGTGCATTGTCTTCGAACGAGGGCGAAGGGATGAATGCTACAGCAACAAATTGTGAAGTAATGCGAACAACTGCAAGCAGTTCCAAACTTGTAGCACGCACCCCAAGCAGAAAGCACGCACGAAATGAGCATACACAGGATGAGCGTGGACAAAGAACTGTCACTGCTCGCCATTTAAAGCCCGCTCATCAAACAGAAAGAAATATGCACGAAATACATGAACAAGTTTACACTGGACAAAGGCGAACTGCCACAATTCTTACTTCTTTGTATGTGAGCAGCGACCTCTTTTCGTAAACGCGGCCGCGCCAGCAAGCGAAGTGACCGTTTTGCCCTTCCAAATCTCTAGTCTAATAATGATGCACGTGTGCAGGCAAGCAGTAGCGCATAAGAGACCACGTTCTGTGAAGGCGACGCTCAACGAAACGAGGGAGGTGAAGTGCTTCAACACGAGCATGTCGCGCCATCTCGCCACTGATGACGAAAACACGCACAAAGCTCCGAGCACCATCAAACGGTGTATGGTGTATATAAATGTCCTGCCATTAGAAAGCGTGATAACGTATGCTTCGTAGCCGAGTGGTTAGCGCTGCGGATCGCGAGGTCGCTGGTTCGCCGTTCCGCAACAGATCCTTTCTATCTCGTATTTTTTGCAATATAACAATATATAATTGAAACGTCCTATGCGTGACGAGCATACGTCAGTGGAGCCTTGGTGGACATCGACACAAAACACTTTCCTGTTAAAAATTTCTCACGGAAAGGTTCTTCACAAAGTGGCATTGGAACGTGCCTTCTCTCTATTGAAAGGCGTGCGTTCTAACCTCTCGGCTATCCTGGCAAGCCCTCAGGGGGTATCATAGCCTTTTACAGCATAGCGTAGCTAGGAAGAGGGAGAGAGAATGGAGAATCAGGGGAGCTTCAGTGGTGAGGAGTGTAACAGGAGAATGGGATGGAGTAAAGCGTGCCACAGAAACATTGAGGTTCAATAAAACTTGTAGCTGGGCGAGTTGGTTCATAATACTGGGTAAACTGGTGTGCGCACAAAAAACAGACAAACGACAGCAGAGAAGAGACAGGGACAAGCGCAGACTTTCAACTAAATTTAATTCTTCGTCAACCTTCAATTTACAGTCGCACAGAACATAGTCAAGTGGTCACGAGGACAGAACCTAATAGTTTACAACAGGCCACGCAAAAAATGACGCTCACTATCAAAAAGCGAAATGGATGTATCACTAACACAGGTATTGCCTCTAGCAGAAATATAAAACGCTTCCATCAGTTCCCGGGCTGTGGTATCAGCACTCCGACCCAAGATCCTAATCTCCGAGAAAATCGGTGAGCACGTGCAAGCTTTGCAATGCGCGGGCAAATGCGTGATCCCGTTATTTTTAAGTGACAGCTCATGTTCCCTTGCACGGTCGTTCACGCAACGCCCCGTATGACCCACGTAAAATTTCCCACAAGACAGCGGTATTTCGTAGACAACGCCCGTCGCACATTTCACATACACAAACGCGTGCTTCTTTCCGCAACCACCGGATCTCTTCTCGCCAGGGAAGATTCTGGGACAAAGTCCAGCCAACTTACGTGGGGCGGAGAACACGATCGGCACACCGTGTCTACTCGCTATCTTTTTGAGGTTGTGGGAAATGCGATGCATATAAGGCATCACCTCCGGACGCCACCTGCGACGCAGGCCAGGGTTCCCGCTGGAACGGACTGCTTTGGCATCACGCAGAAGCACTTCAGCGACTGCCGAGACTACCGTGCAAGGATACCCAGCGGCAATTAAACGCCGCACCTGATCATTAAAGCTTTCTTGCATTGCATGTGAGCATGACTTCTCAAGAGCGGACCGTAGACACAGTTTGGCAATCCCCCTTTTTACAAGTTTAGAATGCGCAGAATCATAGGACAAAAGGGCCTTCTGCGCACGGGGACAATAACGCCAACATAGGTGGTCATATAAAACGAGACGTAAATCTAAAAACTGCCACATTGTCACAACTACCTGCCGTTCAAGATATCTTTCGTTCTGTTTAAGGAAAGGCCTGGTACCGGCAGAAGTTTTGGGGCTGTTCGGTTTTGCGTTACCGACGCCAGGTCATGCCAATCGCGTGTGTCGTCTTATCCGCTCTGAACTTTGGAGGCAAACTCGGCTTCTCCAGGATTATCTGCGTGTCTTATGCTATGCTAGTGACCCGCCCTGGAAGGCAGAAGTGGAGTTGCGTTCCCTGAGGGCGTACACTGCTCGCATGGTTGAGTTTTGGTGGGCCTCCTACCTGAGTAGTGTGCTTCACGTTATCCGAAAGAAAGCCGACAAACGAAGAGGTGAGTCACCTGTTCTCGTCTTAGGAGATGATGTGGAAATCCCGGAACACGTGGAACGCATCCTCAAGAAGGGTCCCAAGTTTAGCTATGAACCAGTTGTGCCGCCTCAAGAATTGCTTGCTTTTAACAGACGTGTTGCAACCAGAGCTCCTCAAGATCAGTATGTGCGTTGTTTGCTTGAGGGCGTCGACGCATTGTCAAGGACTGTGCATAAGGCAAACTGCCATCAGCGGCGGGACCCCACAGAACAGGTGGTGAAGTATTTCAGAGAAAATGATCTTTGCCTTCTTCAAGCGGATAAAGAGGGCGGTTTTGTTGTTCTAGGATCTGGTTCGTATGCTGAGAAGGCTATGAAGGCAATTTCTAAGAACTTTGTTTCTGTTAAAAGCAGTACTGTTCGTGTTAAAACTAAAGCAGTTAACATGTGCAAGGACTTTGAACTCGTTCGGTTGGCAAGAGATATTAGCACAAGCAAAGGTAATGCACTCAAAGTTTTCTTCACTGCAAAGACGCACAAGCCTGGAGTTCCTTTGCGAACGATAGTTAATGAGCAGGGTTCATGGCAGCATTCAGTTTGCCAGTTCTTGCTCAAAGAACTGAATGGGCTGAAAGTTGTGGATCCTTTCGCTACAAAGAGTTCAGAGGATGTTGTGCGGTTTCTGCAGGTCGAGAATTGTACGGACTTTATGTTTTCTGTGGATGTAGAGGATCTATTTTATTCCGTTCCTCATGCGCAGTTGTTCGCGTCTGTTCGTGCCTGCATTGATTCGAATGGAGTCATAGCTTTTCAAAATGCTTCCGGCTTATCGGTCGAGAATTTCATGTCGTTACTAGAATTTTATCTTCGTTCTACCTTTGTTTCATTTAATGATGGTTTTTATCTGCAGCGAGAAGGTATTTGTATTGGATCGTGCGTGGCGCCTGTTTTATGCAACATTTTCTTGGCGGATGTTGATCGGGGTTTAGTTAGCATTCTTGATAATAGATGCGTTGTTAAAGTTTTTAGGTATGTGGACGATTTTTTAATTCTTTTAAAGAGACCCCATTTTACTTCTTTGGACAACTCTGTTGACGCTATTCTTAATGCATTTAAACTGTGCGGTAAGGGCTTGACCTTCACCTATGAATTTCCTACTGATAATTCGTTGCAGTTTTTAGATTTACGTCTCGTTTTATATGACCACCTATGTTGGCGTTATTGTCCCCGTGCGCAGAAGGCCCTTTTGTCCTATGATTCTGCGCATTCTAAACTTGTAAAAAGGGGGATTGCCAAACTGTGTCTACGGTCCGCTCTTGAGAAGTCATGCTCACATGCAATGCAAGAAAGCTTTAATGATCAGGTGCGGCGTTTAATTGCCGCTGGGTATCCTTGCACGGTAGTCTCGGCAGTCGCTGAAGTGCTTCTGCGTGATGCCAAAGCAGTCCGTTCCAGCGGGAACCCTGGCCTGCGTCGCAGGTGGCGTCCGGAGGTGATGCCTTATATGCATCGCATTTCCCACAACCTCAAAAAGATAGCGAGTAGACACGGTGTGCCGATCGTGTTCTCCGCCCCACGTAAGTTGGCTGGACTTTGTCCCAGAATCTTCCCTGGCGAGAAGAGATCCGGTGGTTGCGGAAAGAAGCACGCGTTTGTGTATGTGAAATGTGCGACGGGCGTTGTCTACGAAATACCGCTGTCTTGTGGGAAATTTTACGTGGGTCATACGGGGCGTTGCGTGAACGACCGTGCAAGGGAACATGAGCTGTCACTTAAAAATAACGGGATCACGCATTTGCCCGCGCATTGCAAAGCTTGCACGTGCTCACCGATTTTCTCGGAGATTAGGATCTTGGGTCGGAGTGCTGATACCACAGCCCGGGAACTGATGGAAGCGTTTTATATTTCTGCTAGAGGCAATACCTGTGTTAGTGATACATCCATTTCGCTTTTTGATAGTGAGCGTCATTTTTTGCGTGGCCTGTTGTAAACTATTAGGTTCTGTCCTCGTGACCACTTGACTATGTTCTGTGCGACTGTAAATTGAAGGTTGACGAAGAATTAAATTTAGTTGAAAGTCTGCGCTTGTCCCTGTCTCTTCTCTGCTGTCGTTTGTCTGTTTTTTGTGCGCACACCAGTTTACCCAGAAACATTGAGAAATAGAGAAACAGAAAGCGATGTAGGAAGCAATAAGAAAATAGACCGAGAGAGCAACAATGAAAGAAAATATCGGCAAAGAAAAAGGAATAGAAGGGAAGTGGAAGCAAACGTTGTGTCGTCTAGCAATCAATTACAACACCACCTAGCCTAAATGTGCATGCGCAGTAGCTAAACTAGGCCGACAGACGTAGACATCGCATGCAACCTCCGCTCTGTAGTAAATCACCTGTACCGATGCGGAAGCTGCACATCTCGAAGATAGACAGATGATCTGCGGCTTTGTTGTTATGATCTGCTGACAACTTTCACTATTAAACTAAATATACGTACGTTCACACTGACAAATGCATGTTGTCCAAGCCTAAAGTCCCAGAACTCTGGTGGCTCACTCCTTCTGTGCGGTTCTAGTACGGCTCTACCGTGAAGTGCCACTTGAACTTCGACGTACGCCTCCATCCATATCCACATGCTCGTCCCGATCGCGAGGATCATCAGCTTCGCAACAGCTGGAGGCAACACCATCTCCGTTCAATATCGCTTAGACCGCTTGTTTCGCAAATGTAAAGGCTGAAAGGAAACGTTGGTCATCTCCGAGTAAAAAATCACTTGTAATGCGGTGATAAGATATTTGTGCTCTTTAAGACCACAATGACCAAAATATCATATTTGTTTTACTGAGTACATGATGCCTACAAAATTCCGAATAGGTGCTGCACAACCTCAGGCAACTTCAGCTGTACTTTCGGCATGACATAGCGAGGTAATATGGTATAACACGCACATAAATGAGAAACATTGAACTCTTCACTTACTCCTGAAACTTACGAAAACCCTGATACCGTGGCACGCAATATGCAGGTACGTACCGCAGGTAAAAAGTTAAGAATAGGCGAAAATAGATATTCAAAATTTTATAACGCGACAACAGTGATAGCAATGGGCGACATTTCACATAACAGATCTGCTACATGATTATCACACAAGATGTGGGGATGACTGCAAATGAATTTGTGACACTTGCGATTTTCTGACATCAACGTAAATGCAATCACACTGGTGTTTTTTTGTTTTTTGTTTCACTTCGCTCCCATCGAGATGCGACTGAAGCAGTAGGTAAGTGAGCCCGTGCCCTCTATACTACTTATCTACGTGACATTTCCTGCATTGAACTGCCAAAAGACGTAACATTATAAGATATCATAGGTTTGCATTCGTTTTTCAAGGTAAAGGCATGTCAGGTGCTATGATTGGCAATTTCAATGCAGTAGGCAACCATTGCTAACGTGCAAGGATTTCCATCCAGTAAGTACGTGGTATAAAAATTATATGAATGTAAAATATGAGGAGCTGTGGTGGCGGTTGCATATCATCACCTGCTCTGATTTTGTTTGCCATGCGTCATCTGTGGTCGCAAGATCAGCTACCGTGCATATAGTAATGCCCTAAACACTGCGTATTTATTCCTATGAGTCAGTCAGCTGTTGTGAAGCACTGCTCGTCACCGCAGGATTATATTAACGAACACCTGTTATAATGTAGACACCATTGCACGGAACACTATACAGCGTGCTTTAGTTGAACTAAAACTGAAGCCTCTGCTGTAACGCTAGCGTCTACGTGACGTCGGAGCGTGAAACAATCCTCAAGCGCAGAGCCAGGTGAGCCTACGATAGGTACAGCCACGGCCTCGTCTGTGTGGAGCGCTCCAGTGGCCGATATTTGCTCTGCGGGGTGAAACCATGAGGCAGTTTCGGACTCTGAAGGTGTGTATGAGGAGCATACGCAGCTTAATTAGTTATCAGGTCGACCACGTCAGAGCCTTACACCGCCTCGAGGTTTCAGCCTGCAGAGCGAAAAGTGGCTGCTCACGTGCTTTACTACAAAGACGTGGCCGCGGATGTACACAACTACTCACTTTGGTCGCCGATTTACATCTTGTAACATTTGCTTTATACCTAAAAATGGGAAACATGCAGTTATTCGAAGACCACTTCGCATGAAATAGATCGCCACAATACGTGAATTCAGCCAGAATTTTTTGTGCTGCATAACTGCTAAACGCTTTTGATACTATCGAATATTTTCGCTTTTTTCTACAACACGAAGTGACAACATTAATAAATTACCCTAAAGATTCGCACGACATTTTATACACTTGGATATACTGAGAAAACCTATTCCGAAATTCTTACCGTCACACGTGAGCCCCTTGTCCCAAGTTTGGGTTGCACTAAACTTTGACTTAGCAGGTCATACATGGGTACGACAGCGTCATACGTTTTATTCTTTCATAGACATTACGCAACAATGAAGTGACGCCAGTCGTATCCCTAGAGCATCGTTAGTTGGAAAATCGCGCTTCATTTTAGTCTAAGTGCATTTTTTATTAAAAAGAACCACCGCGCTGAAAGTTCTACATGTCGTTACGTAAAACATCAACATACAATAAACAATGTCTGCACGTCACTCTTCATCGCTTCTTTTTTCCTCTTTTTCTCTTCCTTTGTGTAGAGAGTAACAAGGTAAAGAAAACTAGCTCCGGGCGACCTCTCTAGCTTCTAAAAAATATACTCTCTTTCTCTACTTAGAAGACGACTTTATGTCAGCACCGAAAATAAATGCTTACACAACTGCGGGAAAGACTTGAACAACCAGGTGTATTTCAAACAGGGAGCCACGTGTTCGCAAAAATTTCAAAGAGCACTACAAATTGTCCTCCGTTAACTCGATGAGGCTGAATGCGTGCCTAGCGGTTTATATTTATTTTTAGTTACTTACACGGCATTGTGCAAGCTCCACATTGCTACTTATGTTATTGCAAAATCTCAGGGTATACTAAATACAAATCATTGTGTAAGGCTGTGCCTTCTCGTTCTGTGCCCTTGTCTACGTTTTGTCATTGTATTTTGACTGCGCTGTAAATTTTGAAATTGGAATGCCTTTTCGCATATATGCATGACACGGATAATAGGAAAATAGACAAACAGGCACACAACAGCTTGACGAGGTCTTTGTTTCTCCACCCCATTTTCGATGCGAAGCAGCTTATTGTGAAGCTCAATCCGGTGTTCGTAACCACCCTTACTGCGCATATGAAACAGCTGGCCCAAGCCCTGCCACAACACTTTCACGAGCCAGCGCGCTGCTGCCTTTGTAAAGAGGTGGGCGAGATGCTTTGAGCTATCCCCCTTACACTCTCTCAAAAATCACGTGATAGTGTCGTGGATTGCGATTCTGCAGATACGCGATCAACCCACGAGTTGCATCCTAGTGAAAACGCGCTGGCACGCGCAAGCGCATTGAGGCTTACGTAGGTGGCTACGTAAGCCGCTGCGGCACACCCCCTTACAATCTCTCAGCAAGCACAGGATGGCGTCGGGTAACAAGATTGTACAGTCGCGCGATGAATCTACGTGCTCCCGCTTGGGTGACGATAAACTCGCGTGGCGTGCTTCACCAAGAATTCAGGACGAGTAACAGAAACGGAACAGAGGATGCACGGTATGTTCCGCCTGCAAGGGCGCGTTAACATCGGTCAAGGTGCCCCTGATGGACGGAACCTAAAGTCGACCCATGTGCTACTTGACACGCTACTCATGGTTCCTTTAAGAGACAATGGTGTAATTTTTTTGAACGAAAGTGTTTCATGCTGAATTCCACCTAGGCTTCAATAACGTATTTCCGGAACGGATATTACATTGTATATTTAGCGCTGCCAAACAGGAAAAAAAAAACATTGCTGAAAAAGATCTCCCACTGGGCGTCGAACTTCTGTCTCTTTGGGAAGAATGAATACTGCTCGGTGCCCTACCGTCCAAGCCACTGACATTGCTGCCAGAATGGCAGAGGCGGCGTAGCCAAAACCCACAGAAGCCGTCGCCCCAGTGTATTGATTGATTGATGTGTAGAGTTGAACGTCGCAAAACTACCATATTATTATAAGGGGAATCGTAGTGAAGGGCTCGGAAATATCGACCACCTGGGGTTTCTTACGTGCACCCAAATTGGAGCACACGGCCCTACAGCATTTCCACCTTGATGTAGCCCAATGTATCCAAAGACCAAAAAGAGCGAAATATTTGTAGCCAAACGTAACCAATCTCATTTCACAGCTGTAATTGGACTTTAATTTTCGCATTCGACTAGCATTACAATCCCTTTTTTACAACCTCTAATTATTGTATCAAACACCTAGTGTTGAAGAACGTGAAAGTATCAGTATTCAGGCGCTTCTTGAAGCAATATTGGCACGTTAATATAAAAAGAAAACAGAAAAGAAAGCTCAATTTTATAAACTGTGTCTTTCTGTTTTGTTGGTTTGAAAAAGCGGCCTTCCGAGGTGAGGTGTTCTACCTGACTGTTATCGCCAGCTCTGCAGTGCTTCATGCATAAATAAAACATGGTCACTACTGATTATTATATGCGAAGCATTTCGTTGCGTACTGCAGGCACCTTTAGCCTCCATCCATCCGTCCACCCATCCGTCCATACGTCCGTCCGTCCGTCCGTCCGTCCGTCCGTCCGTCCGTCCGTCCGTTCATCCATCCATCCATCCATCCATCCATCCATCCATCCATCCATCCATCCATCCATCCATCCATCCATCCATCCATCCATCCATCCATCCATACGTCCGTCCATACGTCCACCTATACGTCGACCCATCCGTCCATACGTCGACCCATCCGACCAAAATTAGTGTTAGAGGGTGAGATGGTTTACGAATATGGCGTGCTGGTCAAGACATGAACAATGTCACGATACCGTCTTGTACGCCACGAAAACCTTCCCGCCAAACAAGAGGCACATACCCACGGGTGTGCGGCTAGGTTCCACATGTCACTGACAGTTTATATCTACCCAGAAACGGCGGTAACAGACATGCGTAGTTTTAGAACGTGAGCGTTAAGAAAAAGCTGACATCGACAGTGTGGACTCGACGAATGCGAAGAATAAACCAACAGAAATCAAACCTCTGCATTCTGCGCGGCAATCAAGTATTCCACCACAGAGCCATGCCAGGTCGTGGACCGACTTCTCAAATATATCCTAAAGTCCATAAACCTTAACGTGTGATTACAGCGCTGACTACCCGACTTTATGAACATTACATATGTACTCCTATAATAGAGCCGTCACGTGCAGTTGACGTGAGTTGTAGCTAGGCGCCATCCACTAAAATTTGTTTATATAGCAGTGTACAGAAGTACCATCGTCGCCAGCAGCAGCATTGTATATCTGGTTACCGGTTCTGGTGCTCCGAATATCTATGTGGTTTTTGGCATCGTTACGTAAGGAATAACAGTAGGTTACAGATAAAATATGCGGCTGTTTCAACGTACGTTTGTGTCTGCCTTTGTGGAAATGCTTAGCGCCACTACGTAAAGATTCGCTCAAAGAAAAATAACAACAGTCACCTTTCACCCGCATGCTTCGCATAATATTGATTCCCAATGTGAGTTGTATCTGCCATTTTTTTTTAATATTCGTAGACAAATTTTAGTTTCACAGTTAACAAGCCTTGCCGCCTCGACTGTGATTATGGAGATCACGCATCGGATTCTGCTTAGCGCTGAAATTTTTCTTTTTTTAATGTCCACTCGTACGGTTATAAAGTCACATTGCGGCAGTTCAGATAGCGCGGTGGTGATGGTTTACAGTAATAATGGTCGGGGTTAGTTAGGCAAAATATAAACCGCTGCTGTATATTTTGCCCAAATAACTTTTTGGCGTAGTATTCGTGTCGCATTCTATGAAGACGACCTATAATAGGAATGATTGCATTCATCAAATTTCTTTATTAGCTGAATATTGGTACAAAGTTGCTCTATTGTTTATTAGCCTGTACGAAATCGAATACCTTGTCGCATTCTATGACGGCTATCTATAGGGAAATGAGAGTTGGCAGTATTCCGGGCATTTCTGTGTCACCTGACTAATAGCACGGATATGGTCTCTTCTTGAGTAGCTTGTACGAAATCGGATGTCTTGTCGCATTCTATTATGGCTATCTATAGGGGCTAAGGAGTTTGCTGTATTCCACGCATTTCTCCTCACCTCATCAATAGCTCGAATATGGTCTATTGTTGAGTAGCCTGTACGAAATCAAATGTCTTGTCGCATCTATGATACCTATCTATAGTCGAGGAGAAGTTGGCGGCGTTCCGCGCATTTCTCTATCACCTGGTATATTGTTGAGTAGCCTATACTAAATCCTGCTCCACCTTTGATTGATTAAATTTTACCGTGATTCTAATTCTATAAGCTACTATTTTTGCAAATACCTGGTAGACAACTCAGAGTAAGCTGATCGGTCTGTAGTTTTTCAACTTTCTGATGTGCCTTTTCTCACAGGTTAAGAATATGCTGGCGTTCCACCAAAATTCTGCTATCCTCCCCATTAGAAGACAGTTCGTACGCATACACACGGTGGCCAGTACTTCTAACCTTATCTGTCCACTATATTTCCCTAATACGTAATTATTTACGTGAGATCAAATCTGGAAAAGTAATGCTAGCCTTACTGCATATAACATTCGATTATGTTGCTATCATACTCATTGCGTCACCCTTGCGGCGAAGCTGTGATTTCTTTTTCTGCAACAAAATCTCATAATTATTCAAAAATGCGTAAGAATGCGTGGGATATTGTGGTGGCATGGGAGAAGGTTGAACGGCCTTCTCCTTTGCTAGTCGGCAGGTGAGCTCACCAATGTAGCCACCATACCAGCGCACGAGGTGAATAACAGCACTGGCGAGTCGGTGTTTGAATGGTCTAGAGAAGGAATGCCAAACTTACCTCATTTTGCAGGCTTGCAAGCGACAATCCCGAAACTGAGTTCCGCAATGCCGGCACAGTCAAGAAGGTTGAACTGTGGGCGGACTTTGGAGGGGTAGGCGGGATTTGAACAGAATGCCAGCTCAAGTTGCTATCAGAAAGTAGGAGAGATAGAATGAATTGAGAGCAATGCAGTGGGGTCAACCAGAATTGTAGCATCCGGTTTGATACCATGCACTAAGGGGAGAAAGAATGGAGAAGAAAGATGGAAAAGAATGCGAAGAAAAAATGTACAAAAGCGCGACTGCTATAGCCTATTCAGTAGGCCACTACTACACTGAAACGCTCGATAAGGTGTTATATTTTGAATGACTGAAATATGGACACTGATATGAAATGTATACATATTTTTGTAGCGGGAGTGACATTGACGGTATTTTTTTTTCTGGCCAA